TCGGTCTCCGGGAGGGCATCAGCGAGGCATACCTGTGTGTCCGTTCCCACAGACCATATGCAGCACGGTGTTTCCGTTGTCGTCCCGGATGCTGTTCAGCGGCTCTGGGCCGAAGCGGTCGACGAATTGGTGGATGTCGTCAAGGTCGCCATAGCGGCAAGCGAGGAGGAGGTCGTCGGTGTCCTCGGGAGACGGTGTTGAGACGGACATCGCAGTGCACTGTGAGGGACGGGCGGGGGATGCCCGGCGTCGCATAATACCGTGCCGTGCCGGGTTTGTTTGGCGAGGGCAAACAATCCCAGATGGAGTAACTGCATTGCCTTTCTCTCACAAGTGTTGGCCGAGAGGCCGGCTGAGATTGAATCAGTCTTGCTGTCCCATCTTGTCCTGGTGGCTGCACCAAATATTCTCTGAAATCCACTGTGAACGTCTGACAGTGGTATTTAAAGGTGATGAGACGAGACTGTTCACAAGCGGCCGGCCGAGTGTACTTACAGAGACTTTGATCAGGGTCCGTCAATCACGCAGACTCCCATCAGGCCGTGCCGATGCAGTCGGGGGTTTCGACTTGCCGCTATGTTTGAAACGCTTTGCGATACACACCCTCCGGACTTGTGGCACCGGAATCTACTTGCTGAACAAATGGCTTGTCAGGCGTGTACACCTTCTATGCTACGGGACGTCCGCATCCGAGATCCAACAATTCTCGACGTCAGTCACGACGGCGGCTAGATTCTGCCGCACATCACCTCCTTTTGCGATTGATGCAGGTCAATCATGTTTGATCAGGGGCCGGCATGTGCTGGCTCCTCTCCGTCACTGCATGAGCAATTCTTATGCCCCGCCGTGCGCTTACGCTGTTCTTTCGCTCTCGCACAAGTGCCCTACTCCTACTACCTCTGTAATTCTTCCTTTCTTCGGGAATTATCCTTATGTGCCACACGTCGGCTTCGACGTACCTCACTTGGTCACTGCTCTCAGTCCTGGTCAGTCCAGTCGAAATAGCCTCAGTCCGCGACGGCGAGAGTGCTAATGCAGACGACCACAGCTAGGAGCGTTTCTGTTCTTCCATCTATGGAAATTTGACAGATTCCAATGCCTCAAGTGCGTTGTCCTGATCGTGTGCGGTGCATACAACTCACCCTGCCCCAAAGGTGGAATAATGGCCCATATTCGGGGGCGTTTAAACGCATCATGACCGTGCGTATGCTAGATGTCCGTTGGGTGCAGTATGCGAGCTGAGCGCATGCACAGTACACGTACCTTCTAAGTGTACCGCTCATAATGAGCTATTCTGTTGGATTCGCCGTCATCAAGTACAAGATGGGGTTCAAGGATATAGCAGGGGTTGGCAGTGAGTATTACTCTAGGCGATTCGCTGCGCGGTGATACTGAGAGACCATCTCTGCCAGTCGTACCTACGCCATACGAATACTGGCCGGAGGTCTACCGGAGAGCCATCTTCCCGCTGAACATGCTCTTCACGTTCGGTTGGTCTTGCGAGATGTGCGTCTTTCTCATCTCGTCGATTCCCTTGAGCTTACGCGTGTGATCCCACCAGGACTACTCATATGGAAGGTACGCAAATCCTTCTCAGCATAAACGCTGGTGCCATCTGATCACCGTCCGGTGCAGAGCTATGTTTCTGGCTGTTCCTCGTGAATGCCGGCTCGGTACAGCAGGACTGGTTCCGCAGCTTGTATTTCAAGGCCTGGATTTTCGGTGCTATCTTCGCAATGTTGTACATGCCCCTCGTGACGGGGCTGACGCATTCGGACCCCCTCAAGGCAAGAGTCCGGTTTTCTGCTGCCTCTCGCGATCGCGTGCTTAATGTGCGCGGCAGAACGAAGCGTACACCTTCCTGGCAGGTAGCCTTGGCGGTCTCTGCCTGACGATATGGTTCCTCCCGATTCTGTAAGCAGTTCGCACGGTTTGACAGATGGAAGTGCTGATGTCATCGCTAGGTGGACGTTCCCGAAATTCCTGGACAACCTGGTCCGTGTCCACGTGGGCTGTGATGAGCGCCTTATCTGATTGTGCTGTGCAGAGGGGTGAAGGTGTCGACATCAACACGATCGTGCGCCTCACGACGTTTCACGAGCTGAACGTACGTCTTCCCGCCTCCTCCCTGGTTTTGATCCCTGACCCGGGGCTATGCAGTGCCTCCGAGTAGTCTTCCGGTTCCTGTTCGTCTTCCCGTTTTTGATCCTCGGCGTCGATGGCGTGACCGAGCACAAATACATCAACGCCAGCCTGTAAGCCTCGCGCTTACGCGCTATTCCAGCATGTCCCGCTCACGTCTCCGTCAGGTTCTGGACCGAGTCCCTCACGTTCATCGCTGCCGTCGGATGCGTCGTCTCCTCCGGTATTACCCTCGTTGTACGTGCACGCGCCCACGCGCCTACACCCACTAACCCGCCCCGCGCAGATTTTCTTCCCGCGCAACGTGCAGAGCGAGATCCAGGCGCGCAACGCCTCGCGCGACAAGCAGATGCAGATGCGCACGTTCCACACGACACAGCAGTCCGACGCGCCGTACATGCGCCCGCAGTCGCCGCTCAAGGGCGACACGGAAGCGAGCGGCACGTTCGAGAACGACTCGCCGACGATGCGCACGGCGAAGATGCGCGCGCTGGACGAGGAGAGCGCGGACGCGCTCGTGCGCTCGCTGTCGTTCGCGCCGAACCGCCGCCTCGAGACCGGCGGGATGGTCGAGGGCGCGGTGATCGGGCTCACGGAGCGCAACCTCGCGCGGCACAACTACTCGTCGAACGTGCACCCGTTCGTGCACAACTTCACGTCGCCGATCGGTGCGTCCTCGCGCGCTGCGTCGTGTGCTGGCTTGTCTGACGCGCGGTGCAGATCTCGGATACGGCGACCACAACTACCTGGGGATGCCGGGCGCGGCGCGTCGGTAGGGCCCCGCATGCTGAGGTTGTGTTGTGTGGGTGTGGGGCGCAGTGTGCGCGGTGCACTTGTACGAGTCATGGCATGTGTAGAGACGACTTCAGTTTTTAACTTTAAACCACTTGCATTCGCTCATATCTATGTCATCCGACTGCAGATGTACCAAATAAAATATTCAACCACAGCAGCGCGAGATGCGACTTGGTCCGCTGGTGAGTGTTGAGATTTTCCGGTGGAAGAGTAATATGTCTTGCGGGGAGAGCGAGCGATGTACTAAGGTTCTGAGGTGCAAACACCAATGTAAGAGGGAGCACATTGAGCTGGCCCACCGCTATCATAGCTGGAGACAGACTCTCAGACAACGATATGGTCAATATAGGCTCAAGTTCAGCCTCTAGAGAAAAAGACAGCCGTTTCGTCAGACCGTCAAGTACCACCATAGCACGTTACGCAATAGTGATCACGCAAAACACGAGGCATCGTGCACGCCTCAAGGCCTGCTTCAACAAGTACTGGCACTGGCAATTTGCCCCGCCCCGTTCCCCCATATATCTGGTCATGATTTGCGTTTGCACCGTGCATACACCCCTCTCCTCAACGCCATCCAAGTCGACCCCCTCCGTTCTCGAGCACCACCGCTGCAATGTCCCGCGACCCGTACCACTTCCACTCCACCGCCGACCACGTCTACAACTATTACCGCACCCCCAGCTGGGCCGCCGCCGGTGCCAATGCCGCCCCCCCAACCGCGGCGGCCGAGGCGGGCTCGAACTATAGCTACCCGCAGTACGCGCCCTACCCCCACACGGCCCCCGCCCACGCACCCTTCCCAGGCCCCCTCATCGTGCCCCGCCGCAAGAAGGCGACGCCGGCGCAGCTCAAGATCCTGACGGACGAGTTCGCGCGCGGGCTCTACCCCTCCACGCGGCGCCGCAAGGAGCTCGCGAAGCAGCTCGGGATCCCGCCGCGCTCCGTGCAGATCTGGTGCGTCCCCCCCCGTCTTGTCCCGTCCTCTCGTGCCCGTGCCTCATGCTGCGCAGGTTCCAGAACCAAAGGCAGATGGGGCGCAAGCAGGCGGACGAGCCGCAGATCCCGTGCATCCGCACGCCGAGCTTTGGGCAGTTCGGGCGCAGCGCGAGCTCGGGCTCGGAAGGGGAGGTGCGGGGGGAGGGGGGGAGCGAGGAGCGAGTGCCAGTGGAGCGTGGGCGGGAGCGCGAGTCGCGCGGGCCTGGGCCGTCGGCGACGCCTTGATATTGAGCATGGGGAGGGCGGTTCTGGGGACGCTACGGCTAGCGATGGCCTCGAAGTAAATGTTGTAATTGTATGGACTAAATGTACATGTGTGTGCCGCCGCGATCGACCAGTGTGCAGAATCGATCCTGCAGGCGCAGATGGACACACCGCCCACACGCCTCTCAAGACTTAGAAATCCTCCAGCCGGTACACATCATACGCTACCTCCTCATACGGGTGCACCTTCGCGCCCCCGCCCACCATGATCAGCGCCGTCCACGCAGCCCGCACGCCATGCACCACGCACCTTCTTGAGCTCCTCCACGACGCGCGCGACGTCCGCGCGCTCCCCGCCCGCCTCGCGCACGAGCACCTCCACGCGGTCCTCCTCCACCCGCTCCGGCACCCCACGGCGCCGACCGCAGGGCGCGCGCCCGCGAGCGGGACGAACTGTCCTGTGCTGCGTCAGCCCTTCGCGGGGGCAGCTGCCGAGGGGACGGACCGGTGCCGCGGGCGACGAACGCGCAGCGGGCGTATGCGCCGATGCGGCCGACGTGCGCGGGGAACACGGCGAAGAGGTGCTGCAGGACGCGCTGTGTCGCGGGAGCGGGCACGAAGAAGACGAGCTTGTAGCGGGGCATGTGGGCGCGAGGGCATTCACTGGCGATGGCTTGGGAAGCTTGCTTTTGAGTCCTTGGGAGCTCAGATGATACAGGATCGGTCCAGGAATGATTAATGAGGACTCGAAGTTATAACACAGCGATGCGTGAGCTCAGCACCAATACATGGTCTTCTCAGGAGATTTATGGAGTCGCCGTGGCGGACTGATCAGATAGCCACTGGCACAGGCATTGCGCAATGGTACTATAGTGTAGTGGTTATCACTCGGGATTTTGACCATCGGGTGATATAAATTCCCGGAACCCAGGTTCGAACCCTGGTAGTACCTTGAAGGTTGTCCCTCGACGATTTTTGCTCGCATACGTTCCACGGACAGCGAAGAGCTAGTATCAGATCTCGTTGGCCATTGTCATTTACGGCCGGACGAGCCTCGCCGCGGCAGCGCCTCAAGACTTGCCCGCGCCTCCGATAAAGCCAGTGGATGACACAACAACTTCAGATTGCCAAATGGACCAAGCGTGCGGGAGTGGTGGGATAGTGTACAATACATGCCGATATTCCAGACGTGCTACAAGATAGTACAGGGAGCGCATGCGCCATGCAGACAGAGCGGGAGGGGTCGTGGGGTAGAGATGGGGTGATCGTGGGGAGGAGCAATGGCGAGACCGAGATGAGACATGGCAAAAATGGCAGTGATGGAGGAGTCAAGGCGGCATGCGCGAAGGCGTGCAGCCTGGGCAGAGCCTGGGTCTGGGTCAGTGGTCGCTGAGACCGCCTGCGGTGAGCGACAGGGGCGAGACATCTTGGGATCATACGACGTACGACTTGTGCCCGCGCGATCGCTGTGGTGCGTCCCGCGGTGCGGTGCGGTGCGCCGTCAATGGCTGACCGCAAATCTACGTGTACGAGAAGGATGCCAGTTTACGATCAGATGCGGACGCTCGTGTCGGATCTCCGCGAGGGGAAAGACAAGGACGTACGTGTCGAGAATCCACGACGGATTTACGCCCTTGATGAAGAGGAGAGGGGCAGCCGTGGCGAGGACGAGGGCGGCGCCGGAGAGCGCGACAAGCGTCCAACGGTCGCTGCGCGAGGTGCCGACGTCGAACGTGGGGTGTTCATAGACGTCGAACATACGTGTCATCATGACTGATGTCGTTATTGAGTTGGTGAAGGGTGGGTGGGTGTGCAAAGGGGTGACCGTGCGTTGAGGAAGATGGAGGTGGAATCGAGAAAGAGAAAGGAGGGGAAGGATGGTATGGCAAATGCAGACGATGAATGTTGGCAGAGGGATAGCGTCCTGTGGCTGGAGGGCGTACGGATGGACGAGCGAGCCCTGTCACTAAATAACATATCCAACGAGGCTTGTGATTTTCGCGCGCGATCGATCGGTCGCGTACGCGCGGGGTCCCTCCTTCGTGCACCAATCAATATATTGTCACTATTATTGTCGTGTCTCCGCCATGGGTGGGCCTTGGGAGCGAGCATCTCGTGAATTTGCTGCATGGATCCTATGCGCGTCCGTAAATATGAATGCGGAGGACGAGGTGCCTAGCGCGCTCGATCGATTAAATATGATCAGCTGTCGACCACCCTTGAGCTAGTCAGACTGACACCGGGGTCCTTCCCCTTTCGATGAGTAGTATCTCAGATAGTATACTTACATCTGAATACAATGCTTCATTGTCTCTTCGTACAATAGCATGGGCACCAGGTCTCATTGCTAGGCTATCTTTGTCGACGCATGCGGACTTGGCAAGCAAGTTTCACCGCCACCATGACGCACGCACGAGAAAGGAACGTGAGCAGAGCGACAGCCAGATCCGAGAACGGCGAGAAAACGGGATACGGAGAAATAAGAACGAGTGCAGCATCGATTGTATCCAACAGAGGAAGGAGGGCCGGGTACACGCATAATTGACGATACAGGTATAGATGGTAGTATGTTGCTACTAGTATTTAACAGCGACGCAAGATCAAGACCAAGCAACGAGCGGAACAGTAGTCGGACTCTGAGACAGAACCAGCGGCACCTAGGGAAAACGCGTAAGAACGAAGGAAAGTGCGGACGCGCGAGCTAGCCAACTCGGGTGCATAAATACAAACAGGGAGCAGCAGCCTCAGCGGCTCGTCAATCGGTAATAGCCAAGTGTACAATGTCCCGTGCGGCGCGAGGCTGGCGGGTATTTTTACAAGAGCAAGAAGAGGTCGGGCCCGCGCTCAGAACAGGCAGACGAAGTTGCTCGGGAAGACGTGCCGCCCAGGCTGTCGCCGTGCCTCGTCGAGCAGCTCGCCGCTCCACCACCCGTCCTCGGGCGTCGCCGTCACCGCGATCACGTCGCCCGCGGTGAAGTCGAACTCCTCGTCGATCGTCGCCTGGTAGTCGTACAGCGCTTTCACTGCACACATCCCATCAGCGATCACGCGGAGACATCACAGCGCGCACATCACGTACCGTAGAACAGGACGCCCCGCCCGTCGTCTGTATACTGGTTCGTCGGCGGCGCGTTCACCGGCGGCTGCGGCGACGGCGCGCGCATCGGGCTCGGCGCACGATACCCTGTCTGCTGGGGGTGCTGCTGTGGTTGTGGCGGCGGCGGATGCACCATCCCACCGTTCTGCGGATAGTACCCGTTCATCGACGCGCCGCGATGGAGGTCCTGCACCACGGCCCCGCCGTACTCCTGCGGCTTCGGCTGGTACACTTGCGGCTGGTGCGGCTGGTGCGGAGGCGGCTGCTGATACTGCACCGGGGGCGGTGCGCTGTACATCGGCTGCGGTGGCTGCTGAGTGGGGGGCGCCCCGTACGGCGGGTACATCGGCTGCGGTGGGCCCTGTGCAGGCGGTGCGCCGTACCCTCCCGGCACCGCGCCGGGCGCGGCCATGAGTGCCTGAGGGTGCCCGTTCGCGCCCATATTGTTGTAGCTGAGGCGGCGCGAAGGTTGCTGCTGCGGCTGCTGGGATGCCGGCGGCTGCTGCGGGCGGTAGTTCTGCTGGTACATGTCCGCCATCGAATCCATCGCGACGCGCCCGTTCGGATCGAGCGCAATCCCGACGCTGTTGGGGCTGGTCGGACGCTGCTGCTGCTCAGATACCTGTGGGACTGTAATCGAGGAGGACACGGAGCCCTGGCGTCCTGGCACAGACCCCGGGTGCGTCTGCTGCTGCCCACGTCCTGCGCCGTTGACCGCGGGCGGCGGCACGCGGAAACTGTTCCTGCGTGTTCCCTGAGCACTCGTTTGCTGGTGCTGCATCGCGGGACTGGTGCTCCGCGATGGGGGCATGAATGGCTGTGGGCTTGGACTCCGCCCTTGCGCCCCATTCCCGCATGGCCCATGACACTCAGTGGGCGCTCTCGAGGCTGGTTCTGCATGGAAGCACCAGAGATGCTGCCGACACGGCTGTTTGGCCGGCTGCGCTCGCCAGGGAATGACTGCCGTACTTCTCGAGCACCTCCTGTACGGGCATGTTCGCGGATGGACCCGAAGAACCCTGGGGCGGTTCATAAAATTGGCGGTAGGCGGGTTCGGGGAAGGTGGCCGGGAGTTCGAATGCTGGATAGGGTACGCACCGACAACGATCTCTGCGGAGTTGCGGTAGTTGACCGACTGCCGCCGGCCGTTGTTCGTAGATCCGCCGGGAGGCGGAGAGAGCTTTGCAGACGGGTCCCGTTTCGTCGGCGAGGGGCTCGGTCCTTGCGAGGATGTCTGGGCCTGCTGAACGGGCGTCTTCCACTGTCCGCTCCGCCGGATGCTCCCCCCGCCAGCCGATGCCTGGTTCCGCAACTCCTCCATGTGCTTTGCGAGCGGGTCACCCTCCCGGCCGACGTTGTGTGGGCTCACAGTAGGCCCGTTCTGCATCGGGCTTGGACCGCCGGAACGAGCCTGTGGGTCTCGCGCCAGATCAACCTCATACGCGTTGTCTCCTACTTTGAGCATCGTCTTGGCCGTCGGGTCAATCGGGTCCGCTTGCGGATCTGCAGCGCGTGTGCCATATGCCGATGGTTGTTGCATACGAGGCACAGATCCATTAGGGGCTGGCACAGGTTGTTGTTGCTCGGGTTGCGCCCGACTGCTCGCTCGGCTCCGTGACTGCGCCCGGTTGAGCTGGGGGTCCGTTGAAGGGTCTATTCTTCGTCCACCGCCCATTCCGACGCCAGCGATGTTCATCGTGGGCTCAGGCTCTTCCTCCGGTTGAGGGGTAGGCGAAGCAGCCATCGGCCTCACACGCTGAGTGTGACGAGGAAAGTTGGCGGGACGCGTGCTAGGGCGCTGAGAAGAGGACGGAACGGCATCTGGACTGGCGTAGTTAACAAATGCTGGGGGATCTGGGATCGCACTGCCTGTTCCATAATCCCGCACGAAGTTCTCCATATCTTTGTCTGGCTCGAGCTGCTCCAGTGAAAGTCGCAGCTTCTCACACGACTACAAATGCGACGTCAGCGGCCGAACAAGAGCAAAAGACGTGGATATGTGAATACCTCGTCGTCCGCAACACACACGGTTGATACCGCATTAGCAAACGCCCACATGTTATCCTTCATGAACTCCATCCGCTCCTCCTCCAAGTCCTGGCAGCTATCACAGAACGCCTTCCAATCCACCTCCCACTTCGCAACCGTGTCCTGCAGCGCCCGAGCGAAGTTCGAAAAATCACGCTCGTTCGCCCGCACTGTCTGTTGCGCCCGGTCAAGTTTGTCCCGAATTCTATCGAGATCCTTGCCCTGCATGAGCGTGCTCTGGGCTGTGTACGAGTTGATGCGCACGCAGTCCGCCTCATATTTCTCGCGCGCCTTGGTCACATACGACTCCTGAGTCTGTTTCGTCCTGAACTCCTTCTCGATTGCAGCCTGAATCGTCTTCTTGTGGTGCAACTGCTTGTTCAGAAACGCGGTCGCCTGCCCCTCGAGGTCCGTCTTGATCTGCTGCGCAACAAGCAGATGAAATCCAGCCTGTTTGTCGGTCTCCTGTCGGAGAGTATCCAAAGACAAGCGTAGTTCCCTACAGATGATGTCAGCGGGCATAGCAAACCTCCGTGGCATCGTAGCATACCCAATCTCGTCTTTCCCGAGCGGAGATTTAGCGAGGCTCGCCAATCGCTTTGCGTACTGCTCCTCAATCATAGCTCTGCATGACGATTCCGTCAGGTGAAGCAGTAGCATCTGAAGCACATGTACGCACCGCTCCTTCCAGAAGTTCCTCAGCTCGTCCATCGTCCTTGAGGCTCCGCGCATGCGGGCGAAGAGCACATCGACACCGCCATCACCGAGTCCCCAGAAAGCGTTGCAAAAGTCAAGAGAGCGATTGGTGAGGTCAGGGGAGTTCGCAC